AGTAGGGTTATTATTGAAAGAATTAGAGGTAAGACAGAGCATAGGATTGCAGATGAGCAAGGAGGTTTTAGAGTGGGTAGGGGATGTGTAGATCAAGTGTTTACATTGAAGCATATATGTGAACAGTATTTAGATAAAGGTAGGGACGTTTTCATTTCCCTTATGGATTTAGAAAAGGCATATGATAGAGTGGATAGGGGAGCAATGTGGCAGACGTTGCAGGTATATGGAATAGGTAGTAAGCTACTAAATGCTGTAAAGTTTTTATGAGGATAGTGAGGCTCAGGTTAGGGTGTGTAGAAGAGAGGGAGACTACTTCCCAGTAAAAGTAGGTCTTAGACAGGGATGTGTAATGTCACCATGGTTGTTTAATATGTTAATAGACGGGGTTGTAAAAGAAGTAAATACTAGGGTGTTCAGGAGAGAGGTGGGATTAAATTATAGGGAATCAAATACAAAATAGGAATTGACACAGTTACTTTTTGCTGATGATACTCTGCTTATGGGAGATTCTAAAGAAAAATTGCAAAGGTTAGTGGATGAGATTGGGAGAGTATGTAAAGGTAGAAAGTTGAAAGTGAACATAGAAAAGAGTAAGGTGATGAGGGTATCAAATGATTTAGATAAAGAAAAACTGAATATCAAATTGGAGAGGAGGAATATGGAAGAAGTGAATGTTTTCAGATATTTGGGAGTTGACGTGTCAGCAGATGGATTTATGAAGGATGAGGTTAATCACAGAATTGATGAAGGAAAAAAGGTGAGTGGTGTGTTGAGGTATATGTGGAAACAAAAAGTGTTATCTATTGAGGCAAAGAAGGGAATGTATGAAAGTATAGTGGTACCAACACTCTTATATGGGTGTGAAGCTTGGGTTGTAAATGCTGCAGCAAGGAGATGGTTGGAGGCAGTGGAGATGTCTTAAAGGGCAATATGTGGTGTAAATATTATGCAGAAAATTCAGAGAAGGTGTGGAGACAATAAAAGTATTAGTCAGAAGGCTGAAGAGGGGTTGTTGAGGTGGTTTGGTCATTTAGAGAGAATGGATCAAAGCAGAATGACATGGAGAGCATATAAATCTGTAGGGGAAGGAAGGCAGGGTAGGGGTCATCCTCGAAAAGGTTGGGGGAAGGGAGTCAAGGAGGTTTTGTGGGCAAGGGGCTTGGACTTCCAGCAAGCGTGCATGAGCGTGTTAGATAGGAGTGAATGGAAACGAATGGTATTTGGGACCTGACGAGCTGTTGGAGTGTGAGCAGGGTAATATTTAGTGAAGGGATTCAGGGAAACCGGTTATTTTTATATAGCCGGACTTGAGTCCTGGAAATGGGAAGTACAATGTCTGCACTTTAAAGAAGGGGGTTTGGGATATTGGCAGTTTGGAGGGATATGTTGTGTGTCTTTATACGTATATGCTTCTAGACTGGTGTATCTGAGCACCTCTGCAAAAACAGTGATTATGTGTGAGTGAGGTGAAAGTGTTGAATGATGATGAAAGTATTTTCTTTTCGGGGATTTTCTTTCTTTTTGGGTCACCCTGCTTCGGTGGGAGACGGCTGACTTCTCAAAACAAAAAAAAAACAAAAAAAAAAACAAAAAAAAAAAAAATGTATTTTTTGTGAATATTTTTCTGTTTCTGGAATGGATTAATTGTATTTACATTATTTCTTATGGGAAATATTGCTTTGAGTTTCAAACGTTTCGACTGTAGAACTAGCTCCTGGAACAGATTAAGTTCAAAACTCGAGGTTCCACTGTACTAGTTATAGTACTGATGGTGTGTTACCCTCTCTCACCCAATTTGCTTCTTTAATACATTACAACAGTACAGTACATCAAGAAACTCATCATCAGAGGAATTTGACTTACCTCTAATAAACTATTCATGTCTATAGGCTATCTACCTTATTTCCTTTTAATGAAGGTCTTCTACTTTTAATGAAGGTCTTCTACTAATGTTTTTTGTGAGAGGCATCCTCAGCCAGGCCATTGTAAATCAAACCATGTTTTCTGATAGGAGCTATGTTATAAATGGAAGTTTTATTCCTGGGAATCAATTTCATATACAAAATCAAGTATTTTTTAATAGCTATCTCACCAGGAAAAAACTGTCATAAATGAAGGAGTGTTAAAGTTGGGAGATCATAGGTTGGGGTTCATCTCTACGACTTTTGTTTTAACCCTTGAACCGTCCAAACGTATATATACGTTTTTTCAACATTTGAAAGTATGTAAAAAAATGTACATCATCTTTTTTTTTTTACATTTGAAAATGTGTAAAAAACTTTTATCTACATTTTTTTTTTTATTATATTTGAAAATACAGTGGACCCTCGACCAACGTTGGCATTGTCTAATGTTAAATCTGACTAGCGATACATTTTAACGCAAAAATTTTGCCTCGACTAGCGCTAAAAAACCTGACCAACGCTATTCGTTCTGTTCGAGACGCGTCCACTTGTGGCCTGAGCGTGCCTCACTTGTCCTGTGGGTGCCAGTGTTTACAAGCCAGCCAGCCACCGCGGTCCCATCCAAACATACAATCGGAATATTTCATATTATCACAGCATTTATAGTGATTGCACCTGCAAAATAAGTCACCATGGGCCCCAAGAAAGCTTCTAGTGCCAACCCTACAGCAAAAAGGGTGAGAATTACTATGGATATGAAGAAAGAGATCACTGCTAAGTATGAAAGTGGAGTGCGTGTCTCCGAGCTGGCCAGGTTGTCCACAAAACTCCAATCAACCTTCGCTACTATTGTGGGCAAGAAAACGGTAATCAAGGAAGCTGTTCTTGCCAAAGGTGCAACTATGTTTTCGAAACTGAGATCGCAAGTGATAGAAGATGTTGAGAGACTGTTATTGGTGTGGATAAACGAAAAACAGATAGCATCTCTCAAGCGATCATGTGTGAAAAGAATAGGAAGTTGCATGATGATTTAATTAAAAAAATGCCAGCAACTAGTGGTGATGTGAGTGAATTTAAGGCCAGCAAAGGTTGGTTTGAGAGATTTAAGAATTGTAGTGGCATACATAGTGTGATAAGGCATGGTGAGGCTGCCAGTTCGGACCACAAAGCGGCTGAAAAATATGTGCAGGAATTCAAGGAATACATACAGTGAAGGACTGAAACCTGAACAAGTGTTTAATTGTGATGAAACAGGCCTGTTTTGGAAGAAAATGCCAAGCAGGACCTACATTACTCAGGAGGAAAAGGCACTCCCAGGACATAAGCCTATGAAAGACAGGCTTACTCTGTTGATGTGTGCTAATGCTAGTGATTGCAAAGTGAAGCCTTTATTGGTGTATCACTCTGAAACTCCCAGAGTGTTCAGGAAAAACAATGTCCTCAAGGCTAATTTGTGTGTGCTGTGGAGGGCAAACAGTAAGGCATGGGTCACTAAGGACTTTTTCTATGACTGGTTACACCATGCATTTGCCCCCACTGTGAAAAATTACCTCCTGGAAAATAAATTGGACCTTAAGTGCCTCCTGGCATTAGACAATGCTCCTGGTCATCCTTCAGACTTGGCAGAGCGACTTTCTGCGGACCTAAGCTTCATTAAGGTCAAGTTTTTGCCTCCTAATACCACTCCTCTCCTGCAGCCCATGGACCAGCAGGTCATTGCAAACTTCAAGAAACTGTACACAAAAGCTATGTTTGAAAGGTGCTTTGTAGTGACCTCAGAAACTCAACTGACTCTAAGAGAGTTTTGGAGAGATCACTTTAGCATCCTCAATCGTATAAACATTATAAGTAAGGCTTGGGAGGAAGTGACTAAGAGGACCTTGAACTCTGCTTGGAAAAAACTGTGGCCAGAATGTGTAGACAAAAGGGATTTTGAAGGGTTTGAGACTAACCCTGAGAATCCTATGCCAGTTGAGGAATCCATTGTGGCATTGGGAAAGTCCTTGGGGTTGGAGGTTAGTGGGGAGGATGTGGAAGAGTTGGTGGAGGAGGACAATGAAGAACTAACCACTGATGAGCTGCTAGATCATCTTCAACAGCAAGAGGCCACACCTGAGGAAACTGCTTTGGAGGAGGGGATAGAGAAATTGAAGAAGTTGCCTACTTCTAAGATTAAGGAAATGTGTGGAATGTGGCTTAAAGTGCAAACCTGTTTTGATGAAAATCACCCTGACACAGCTACTGCAAGCCGTGTTGGCAACCTGTGCACTGACAATGTTGTGAAACACTTTAGGAATGTCATAAAGGAACGGGAGGTACAGGCCTCTATGGACAGATATGCTGTGCGACAGAGGTCCAGTGACTCTCAAGCTGGTCCTAGTGGCATTAAAAGAAGAAGGGAAGTAACCCCAGAAAAGGATTTGCCACCTCAAGTCCTAATGGAAGGGGATTCCCCTTCTGAACACTAACACCATCAACACTCTCCCCTCCTCCCATCTCATCAATCATCACCAGATCTTCAATAAAGGCAAGTGTCATGTAACTGTGCATGTCTTCTTCAGTTTGTGTGTATTAAAATTAATATTTCATGTGGTAAAATTTTTTTTTTCAATACTTTGGGGTGTCAGGAACGGATTAATTTGATTTCCATTATTTCTTATGGGGAAAATTAACTCGACTAACGATAATTTCGATTAACGATGAGCTCTCAGGAACGGATTAATATCGTTAGTCGAGGGTCCACTGTATGTAAAAAAAAAATAGATCTACTTTTGGAGCACTACGGATTTGAACGTCGATCTATTTGGACCATTTAAGGGTTAACAAAGTAAAGCTTCAGCAATAACTACAGTATTTTAGTTTGTGTAATGCCATTTTTACAGTATCAAGAATATATCTACAACAGTACAAGATTTGACTGAAACTATTACTATTTTAATAGAGTAAATGACAATAATATCAAGAATGAGTCAAAATTCTTCAAAGAGGTCAATATTTCCTAATGCACATTAACATAATAAAAAATACTTTACTGTATCATAAAATATAATACAACTAAAACATATATGCACTGCGTTTAGCTGTGAGACATACCATCGATATCCATCCTTGAGAACTTCTCTTTCACTTTCTACAGACACAGGTTTGCCTTTGCCATGCAAGCCACCTTTACCAATGCACGTATCCTCAGGACCTAAAGCAAGACCAATGTAAGATTAGTGAGATAATAACAAAAGCCTATAAAGTGCTCATGAAAGCACATCATTCTCAACACAGCACTAAAATGCCGAATGCTACTGTCAGTTTTGTACACCATTAAGATATTAATGGTATGCAAAACTACCAAAAAGATGAAAAAGAAACATGTGCAGCACTTGGGATGCATATGTCTTATTCACCTATCAGTGTTATACCTGTAATTACTTATTTGTAATTATCTATTTATAGCCACAGGACCAGAGATAGGGAATGATGTGCAAGTGCTGAAGGAAGAACAGAAGCTGAATAGATGAGAGTTCACAGATGATGCAGTAAATCAATGTCAGTTAACGACTCACAGAATGAGTCTGCAGAAAAGCGGAAAACATCAGAGAGAAAGGTGGGCTGCAGATTACATAACACAAAAGTGCAAGAAGCCCATTACATCTCCCGTGACAATTTGCCTGAAAAAATTATAAGATGAAATCCTCACAAACACCACAATTGCTTTGACTGCAATACTGTATACTTTAAGTATATTTCACTACCAGTGGAATTTCATTAGAGAATCTTGACAAATTAGAATTACCTCCTCTACACAATTTCAATGAAGACATTAATCATATAAATGTAATAGGAAAGTTTGTTAGGGGGTAGAAGTTAAGCCATTCTCTTCAGTCCTTGTATAGACTACCTGCCATTGGGGTATAGTTAGGGCTTCTGTTAATATTTACTTTTAATTACTTGGTCTCTGATTCAGTATTATAAAGGTAATAAAATTTGTGGCCTTACAGCCTACACAATGCAATAATTTTCTCTAAAACAGACTATGAGAGATATGCAAGTTGTGTAATGATCTAACACTAGCTATTTTACAACTACTACTACTACTACCATTATAATCACAAGGAAGTGCAAAAGCCATAGGAGTCAACCAGCACATGGGTAAAGTGAAGTGGTCAACCAAGAAGGTAGTTTCAATTCCTTGAATCAGTAGCCCTTCACTTGTATCAAGGCACTCAACATGAAGGGAAGCTATGTTATTGCTATTCCAAATTGCCACTTTTTGCTCACCTTTGATCAGGGACATAAAACCAGTTTTACTAAATACTCTACACACATCACAATTAACATAGTTTATTTTGATTTTCATTATACTTTTATATTTGTTTCCTCTTTTTTTTTAATTTACTTTTTCACTTGTTTATTTTTCTTATTTTTCTTTTTAACTCCTGAGGACATTCCTCGCCTGACCAGATATCCCTTCCACCAGGCCTGTATCCTGGCTGCAGCTCGCTGCTTCAGATCTTCCAGTTCTTTTCTCTGACGCTCTACCTCCTGCTCGGCTTCGTAGTCTTGCACCACAACCAAGTACTCCTCGTACTTCTGTATCACTTCATTTAGGGTGCTCTGCTTGCTTTGAACCTCTGCTTGCCATTTAGCCACCTCTTCCCTCTTTTTCTGAGTGTCTTCTTTAAATTTCTCTTCCCATTCCAATATTTTGGTTTCTAGTTTAGCACAACTCTCTTTCAAGAAAGCTGTTAGGGCATCGTGGACCCGTATTTCTTGTGGAATTTCACGCCCTACTTTGGCAATTTCCTTACAGATGCTTTGCTCTTCTTGTTCTATTCTAAACTGAAGATTCTCTATTTGAACTCTGGCCACTTTTCTCTCATACGCTTCTCTTTTAGGATTTAACCGTTTTGCATCACTGATAGCCATTAGCAGATCTGATATCTCTTGATCCTTCGCTTGGAGCAGCTTCTGAGTGTCTTGTTTAACATTCTTTAAATCTTTTTGTAGGCCATGTACTTTGCTGCTTTTCTGAAAATGCTTGGCTTTCCACTTATGTCCTTGAAGTAGAGCAATGAAATCAGCCTTTTTCTTGTGATCTTCTTTTTCAAATGCAATACATTTCTCCAAACAACTGAAGCTCTGTTTTTCAACCAGTTCATTTGCTAGGTCAAACAGTATTTTTTCTATGTAACCAAGATCATCATGTAACTTCCTAAGAGCAAGATCATTGCCATATCTGTCATTTTCATTCTCCGACAAGTCAGTTTCTTCTCCATCTGCAGGTCTGAAGGGACAGCCGGGCAGCAGCTCATGCATAACACAGATACTTAAAGCTGCTTTCTTACAAATTTGACTGAATTTAATAGCGGTTTTGTATTCTAGTGTCATTTTTACATTACTTGCAGGAAATCTGCCAAAGTAATAAATAAATGATGCTTATTTTCCTGTCTGCTGGTTGCTATGATTATGTTGTCCATCTACTTCTAACAGTAACCATGGCAACCAACTCCTAAAGGAAAGAAAATGGAGAATAGACTGAGTGACAAAAGGGCACACTCAAGAAAATTATATGGTGTGTTATTGTTAACTTTAAGTTTCATTCAGAAACCTAAGTAAGTTTATTTAGGTACAGGTACACATAAGTTCATTTATCATACATAGTTTGGCATATGTGTGAATTACCTAGGATAACCCAAAAAAAAGTCAAACAAAGTGACACATACAGTACACACTCCACACCACACACTCCACACCACACTCCACACACACCACACCACACACACACACACACACACACACACACACACACACACACACACACACACACACACACACACACACTTATATACAACAGGCCAAGTGTCTAATCGACATGTGCCTAGGACAAAATGGTAACTAACATACACATGCATGCACATACAACAGGCCTAGTGTCTAATCGACATGTGCCTAGGACCAAATGGTAACTAACACACACACACACACACACACACACACACACACACACACACACACACACACACACACACACACACACACACATACATACACACACACACACACACACCACACACACATACACACACACACACACACACACATAGCGAGGGGGACATGACCCAGGTGGCAAATTTTCGGAGAAATGGTGGTTCACAAATAAAAGAATCGGCCTCTCAAAGTAATTTTCAAGGCAGAATCAACCCGAACCATGATCCTGCAGGAGAAAGCACGCTGAGAGGCAAGCAGGAGTTCCAGAGTGTGTACCTCGATCGAGACAGAACACAGACAAAAGGAAGACGATGAAAGAGAGAGTTCAAAAACAAAAGGAGAAATGGGAGGAAATGAAAAAGGAGAGCAGAATAACCCAGGATCAAATGGAAGGACAAGCACACCCCCCAGAAACACCTGCAGAAGGACTCCAGCCACGACACCCCCAAGGCAACTGAACAATCCAAACCAACCATCACACACCGATCCCTCTGTTCCCACCCCCCGCACCACAGTTACAGTATTAGAACAGAAGTTGAAGGTTTGGTACACAAATGCAGATGGATTAACGAATAAACATGAGGAATGGCAAGAAAGAATCAATGAGAAGTCCCCAGACATCATAGCAGTTACAGAAACAAAACTCACGGAGACAATAACAGATGCAATCTTCCCACCAGGATACCAGATCATGAGGAAAGATAGAAGGGGCAGGGGGGGGGTGGGGTTGCTCTGCTCGTAAAAAACGATGGAAATTCGAGAAAATGGAAGGCATAGATGAGACGGGAGAAAGAGACTACATAGTAGGTACACTTCAGTCTGGGGAACACAAAGTGGTCATTGCAGTGATGTATAATCCACCACAGAACTGCAGGAGGCCAAGAGAGGAATATGAAGAGAGTAACAGAGCAATGGTGGACACACTTGCTGAGGTGGCAAGAAGAGCTCACTCCAGCAGAGCAAAGTTGCTGGTTATGGGGGACTTCAACCACAGGGAGATTGACTGGGAAAACCTGGAGCCACATGGGGGTCCCGAAACATGGAGAGCCAAGATGTTGGACGTGGTGCTGGAAAACCTCATGCACCAACATGTTAAGGACACTACCAGAGTGAGACGGGAGGATGAACCAGCAAGATTGGACCTTGTGTTCACCCTGGGCAGCTCAGACACTGAGGACACCACGTGGTTCTGTGCTTTGAATACATAGTAGAGCTGCAAGTGGAGAGAATAACAGGAGTTGAATGGGAAAAGCCTGACTATAAAAGAGGGGACTACATAGGGTTGAAGAACTTCCTGCGGGAGGTCCAGTGGGACAGAGAACTGGCAGGAAAGCCAGTAAATGAAATGATGGAATATGTAACAACAAAATGCAAGGAGGCAGTGGAAAGGTTTATTCCCAAGGGCAACAGCAACAACGGGAAGACCAGAACGAGCCCCTGGTTTACCTGACAGTGTAAGGAGGCAAAAACAAAGTGCAATAGAGAATGGAAAAAGTACAGAAGGCAGAGAACACACGAAAATAGGGAGATCAGTCGCAGAGCCAGGAATGAGTATGCACAGGTAAGGAGGGAGGCCCAGCGACAGTATGAAAATGACATAGCATCGAGAATCAAGACTGACCCGAAACTGTTGTATAGCCACATCAGGAGGAAGACAACAGTCAAAGACCAGGTGATCAGATTAAGGACAGAAGGTGGAGAACTCACAAGAAATGATCAGGAGGTATGTGAGGAGCTGAACAGGAGATTTAAGGAAGTTTTCACAGTAGAGACAGGAAGGGCTGTGGGAAGACAGCACAGAAGGGAACATCAAGAGGGAATATACCAACAAGTGTTGGATGACATACGAACAACTGAGGAGGAGGTGAAGAAGCTCCTAAATGACCTTGACACCTCAAAGGCGATGGGACCGGACAAAATCTCCCCATGGGTCCTTAGAGAAGGAGCAGAGATGCTGTGCGTGCCTCTAACCACAATCTTCAACACATCCCTTGAAACTGGGTAACTACCTGAGAAATGGAAGACAGCTAATGGAGTCCCCATATTTAAGAAAGGAAACAGAAACGAGGCACTAAACTACAGACCTGTGTCTCTGACATTTACTGTGTGCAAAGTCATGGAGAAGATTATCAGGAGGAGAGTGGTCGAACACCTGGAAAGGAACAAGATTATAAATGAAAACCAGCATGGGTTCATGGAAGGCAAATCTTGTATCACAAACCTCCTGGAGTTTTATGACAAGGTAACAGAAGTAAGACACAAGAGAGAGGGGTGGGTAGATTGCGTTTTCCTAGACTGCAGGAAGGCCTTTGACACAGTTCCCCACAAGAGATTAGTGCAGAAGCTGGAGGATCAGGCGCATGTAACAGGGAGGGCACTGCAATGGATCAGGGAATACCTGACAGGGAGGCAGCAACGAGTCATGGTACGTGAAGAGGTATCACAGTGGGCGCCTGTGACGAGCGGGGTCCCACAGGGGTCAGTTCTAGGACCAGTGCTATTTTTGATATATGTGAACGACATGATGGAAGGAATAGACTCTGAAGTGTCCCTATTCGCAGATGATGTGAAGTTGATGAGAAGAATTAAATCGGATGAGGATGAGGCAGGACTGCAAAGAGACCTGGACAGGCTGGACATGTGGTCCAGTAACTGGCTTCTCGAATTCAATCCAGCCAAATGCAAATTCATGAAGATTGGGGAGGGGCAAAGAAGACCGCAGACAGAGTATAGGCTAGGTGGACAAAGACTACAGACCTCACTCAGGGAGAAAGACCTTGGGGTGACCATAACACCGAGCACATCACCGGAGGCACACATCAACCAAATAACTGCTGCAGCATACGGGCGCCTGGCAAACCTGAGAATAGCGTTCTGATACCTTAATAAGGAATCGTTCAAGACACTGTACACTGTGTACGTTAGGCCCATACTGGAGTATGCAGCACCAGTCTGGAACCCACACCTGGTCAAGCACGTCAAGAAGTTAGAGAAAGTACAAAGGTTTGCAACAAGGCTAGTCCCAAAGCTCAGGGGAATGTCGTACGAGGAAAGGTTGCGGGAGATCGGACTGACGACACTGGAGGACAGAAGGGTCAGGGGAGACATGATAACGACTTACAAGATACTGCGGGGAATAGACAAGGTGGACAGAGATAGGATGTTCCAGAGAGGGGACACAGGGACAAGGGGTCACAACTGGAAGCTGAAGACTCAGACGAGTCACAGGGATGTTAGGAAGTATTTCTTCAGTCATAGAGTTGTCAGGAAGTGGAATAGCCTAGCAAGCGAAGTAGTGGAGGCAGGAACCATACATAGTTTTAAGAAGAGGTATGATACAGCTCAGGAAGCAGAGAGAGAGAGGACCTAGTAGCGATCAGTGAAGAGGCGGGGCCAGGAGCTGAGTCTCGACCCCTGCAACCACAATTAGGTGAGTACAATTAGGTGAGTACATGCATGCACATACAATAGGCCTAGTGTCTAATCGACATGTGCCTAGGACCAAATGGTAACTAGTAATTTTACATTCTTCTTATTTCAACAAACCGGTCATAACCCACCGAGGCAGAGTGACCCAAAAGGAAAAACAAAAGTTTCTCCTTTTAAATTTAGTAATACAGCCTCTCCTCACTTAGCGACATACTCGTTTACCAATGCCTTGGACTTACGACGGGCTCTCTGACAGTATTCATACGTAAATAATGTATATCAGAGCTGATTTCCTCTATTCTGTTTATTTTAATATACAGCACACTACTGTATAAACACTTAAAAAATATACCAGAAATGTTATAAATGGTGCAAAGGTGACATTAAAATAATATCAAAGATGGTTGACACAAAATCACTACCATTACGTATAGTATGCTCCTCACTTAGCGACGAATGCGTTTAACGACGTGGTCTTAGAAAAGGAACTCCGTCATTAACTGAGGAGAGATTGTATATGCAAGAGAAGGGGTTACTAGCCCCTTACTCCTGGCATTTTAGTCGCCTCTTACAACACACATGGCTTACGAAGGAAGAATTCTGTTCCACTTTCCCATGGGGATAAGAGGAAATAAACAAGAACACGAACTAGTATTGGCAGTTTGGAGGGATATGTTGTGTATCTTTATACGTATTTGCTTCTAAACTGTTGTATTCTGAGCACCTCTGCAAAAACAGTGATAATGTGTGAGTGTGGTGAAAGTGTTGAATAATGATGAAAGTATTTTCTTTTTGGGGATTTTCTTTCTTTTTTGGGTCACCCTGCTCGGTGGGAGATGGCCGACTTCTTGAAAAAAAAAAAAAAAAAAAAAAAGAACTAGTAAGAAAATAGAAGAAAATCCAGAGGGGTGTGTATATATATGCTTGTACATGCATGTGTAGTGTGACCTAAGTGTGAGTAGAAGTAGCAAGATGTACCTGAAATCTTGTATGTTTATGAGACAGAAGAGAGACACCAGCAATCCTACAATCATGCACAAAATTAATTTTACATATCTTTTATAAATTTGAACAATGGTTCTGAGGAAACACAAATGTCACAGGAATACATAAACAGTACAATATGCAGATTTAACCTAGGATAACCTTTACCAAGTAATTCTTTCAGTAATAACTTCACCACATATTTTACCCGGCACACTCAATAGACTTATTCCCATATACTGTCATTCTTTCAAACTCTTGCCTCCGTTTGTTCTTATACAGAGGAACTGTGCATGTTCTCTGCCAATTCTTAGCTATCTTCAGTGGTTTCATACATTCTGGTATACTCAAAAGATGCAACAACCCCTCCAAAACTATATCTCCACCTGCTTTTAACACTGCTGTCTTAATCCCATCTATCCCTTCTGCTTTACTGCCTTTCATTCTACCCACTGCCTTACAAAATAATAATAATAACAGTCAAATCTTTATACTGCTTAACATACTGCATCTGTTATATCTATTGAATAACATTCAAGATACTGTAATGTTCAAAAAATTAGCCATCTCAGAAGTATATTTTACCAAATACAGTAAACTAAATATTATGTACAGAAGAGAGGCTGATGTCTTCAGCCTTATGAAGGTACATGTATTAACATCAAAATTTTGTAAGGAGTACAGTACCTGAATTATTTGTTGTTGTGCCTGAATTTGACGTGTCACTTGTCTCTTCCGTAGATGTGTTCACTTGGTCTTGCTTCTCCATTGGAACTCTTTGCCCATCTATACTCTGGGAGAAAATAATAGTAATGGTCCAAGGTTTTTTCACGTTATTTTATCATGTCAGTGCAATTTATATATTTATGTTTGAGGTCTGATGAACCACTAGGAATTAAAGACCTTGCAGAATTTTTTTTATTACAAGAGCATCAGGACCTTCCCACCACTTTTGACTGAGTAAGTCTCCTTCCACCTTTGATCTTTTCTGGTTGCTAATTTTCAATCATTGATCACCATCACTTTATCAAACAAAATAGAGCTACGCCATGGTATGGCCATCTACCAGTCTTATAAAGTGCAACACACCCAAATGGCTTTTCAGGAATTCACAGTCTAGGTAAGATTTATTTCTGGATCCTGACACTGGCAGTCCAACTCTGACAAATATGTAACCAGGTTTACTTAGGATTTCACAAGGATGCTTGGTCTGTTGCCTTTAAAGTTTATTTGTGAGTAAGCGTGCATTGATCAGGTTTTATCTGCCTAGCAAGGCACTGATAGGATCCAGATTAGGTCATTGTTGTGAACTATGAAAAACTGCTTTCTGTGTATGATTCAGTGAACCACAGAGACTGTCAATTTTCTTTGCCAGATATCTCAACTTGGGTTGTTATAAATGGAGCAGCCAGCTAGTAGCACTCAGTAATCATCAACAGAAAACAAGCACAAAATTGGAGAAAATAGAAATGCAGAAGGAAGTATACTGAGCTAAAAATGGAATGACCTTCATATTGGTGAATACAATAAGAGATATTCCTGAAAAGATGTTAGTTCATAAAGCCCTACACAAAAATCAGTTTACAGATTTAAAATAATAAGAACTTTATTAATTAACATGATATACAAATTTTTAATGTCATACCTAAACTTTAAAACTTATCCTAACATTGCTAAAATTACCATATTATAATGTGGCTTAAACCTGTCCAACTTATCTTCGATCAACTTAAATTTAGCAAGTATTATCTAATACGAGAGTAAGGAGCTAGTACCCCCTTCTCCTGTATAAATTAATAAAAAATAATAAGAAAAACTTTAATAGCATTTCTTATCGGGTAGCTCTTCCTTGGTGGAAAAGTTAGTATATCTACCTTTCGCTTCAGTGATTTGTTTGCATCCTTATGAGCCACTACCTCCACGAGCTCACAGTCACTACCTATATAATGAAGAAAAAAAAGAAGTACTGTATCATTATCATTACTAATTTTAAAATATCCAATAACATTTTCTTGATTGCATAAAAGCATACAGTATGGATATTATTAATCACTAATGTATATTACAAACAATATTTTAGTTACCATAAGAGATGGTTTTATACAAGTCAATGTATTCAAAAGATTTTATTATAGAAATGAATTTAAGAATAAAACACAAAATAAAATATCTTGGTACAGTATATTAAGTATTAATTAATATATCTGTGAAGATGTTACTGCTTTGATTGCTGCTTTTGCTTCCATTTGCCCAGCCTCCAAATGCCTGCCAAACTCGTTCTAGGATGGATCCTGGCTGGCTATCTTCATGCTTCTTACTTGGAGTTGTCTGTATAATTAAATAATAATAATAATAAATCTAAGCTTTCTATTATTCCTTGCTAATATATATGATAAGTAACTTTACTTTATAACATATACAAAAAAATTATTCATGATGTTTTTGCCTATTGTTTATGTTTCCTTCACTAATACATAACATGCATGTTTGTATGTATATGCTTTTGTTATCAGATTCATTTTCACTCTGATTAACATGGCCTCATTCTATGAATGCTGGACACAGTGTTTTTAAGATTATCACAGCTATAGGCATATTTGTGTTTATAGTTCCTAAGTTCTGCACCAGGTTCTTAATGGATGTTGATGACCTAATAACTATGTTAACACATTTATTTTGAAGTTCATTGTGCAAAGGAGCACTGCAACAAGCCTACTGGCTTGTTGCAGTGCTCCTAATATAGACAGTACTTCTAGCACTACAACAAGCCTGCTAGCCTGTTGCAGTGCTAGGCAGGTTCTTCTCAGACTAAACCCTTGTAACTCATATCTCTAATATTACTTTCACCACTCTTTCACTTCACATCACCCAGCTTGTCACCACATATGTTCCTTTCTTAGTTGTCTATATTGGAACTGAAGAAACCACTTGTGGCAAAATGTTTGCTTTATTAATGCAATGAACTATACACAAGTGTCTATAATTAGAATGCATTACCTTTTCACATCCAACTAGCAACAAACGTTCAGGTGTTGGAAGTTCAAGAGCATCTGGGGGAGACACGACTTCTGTGTTTGGTGAGTCCAACGCTGTGTTGGTTTGATCATCTAGCTCAACAGGTGATCCTAAATGGAAATGTAACAAAAAAATTAAATGATAAAGAGTGGAAATGTAGTAGTGAGAAAAAGCAACTCAAGCACATCACCAGTCTTCTCTACTGATGGGGTCTAATGGTTTCTACTTAATTTTATGATTTTCAATATATTTAAGCAACAGGCTAAAATATAACAAAAAATACAATATAAAATTTCCTTGGAGGGAAGGGTTGAGGGGGCACACAATGAGTAATATTTTTTTTAATTTATACAATTTTTGAGCTAAGCCTCTGCAACATTACTATACATTTTATAATACTGTATTAAACATTTTTATCTTTTTTAGATAAAAATGTTTTTATATCCCAGCTAAAAATTGAGACCTTATTTTGTGTCCATTTTGTAAAATTCCAAGGTCACATACTTGATATAAAATTCAAGCTATATTTTTTTTTTTTAACAAGTTGGCCGTCTCCCACCGAGGCAGGGTGACCCAAAAAGAAAGAAAATCCCCAAAAAGAAAATACTTTCATCATCATTCAACACTTTCACTTCACTCACACACATTCACTGTTTTTGCAGAGGTGCTCAGAACACAACAGTTTAAAAGTATATACTACGTATAAAGATACACAACACATCCCTCCAAACCACTAATATCCCGAACCCCTCCCTTAGAATGCAGGCATTGTACTTCCCATTTCCATTTCCCATTTCAAGCTAGATATATGAAGTAAAATTTGGAATGGTGTACTGAATCAAAAGTAAGAAGTCAAAAAATAGGGCCTTTGCTGTATTATTTTCTAACTTTAGTACCTGTTCCTTTAAAGTCAGGTATATGATGACATTTTATAAAGATTTCCTTGTACTAATGAAGTAACTATGAGGAACATTAGCCTATTATCTCCTAGTACAGAACTAAATTTTCGAGAATATTACAACGAACTGAAAATACATAAATATGTACTACAGCTGTCATACCAAGAGTCATCAAATCCATCATTGAAAGTGGAGACTGCGGAGAGCGGTGGTGGATGAAAGATGCACGACCCATGTCTCCTCGTGGATCTGGCACCACCCTAGAGTCCCTTGAAACCACTGTTTCAATAACGGAGGGATCATAAACACTCGATTCTACAACAGTGGCTTCTGCAAAAACAGCATCTTGCAGTTTTGATGAATCATGATGAGCTGCTCTCTTAACTTGATGCTCAGCATTATCCTTGTTGCAACCAGAGTCTGTGACTCCACATTTGTCTGGAAATAAAAGGGAAGAATTAATTTTACATTTTTCCACAAAATAGCTAGTTTAATGTGCATCCTATATCTGTCCTGTGGATGGTAACACAAGAGAATAACAACACAAAAAGACCTAGGAAATAAACCCTAAAAGAGTTAACAGAAGTATAATTGGGTATAATGTAGATCCCCCATTACTGAATGTACTGCATTCCTGAATTTTTTTTGTAACTCTGAATGTGTTTTCCAACAAACACCATGTTATGAAAAATTAGACACATGTGCAACATCTTGTAGATGTTTTGCCATCCAGTGGCTTTATCCCAAGTATGACTTACTTCCACTGGAGAATCCCACCTACCAGAGACAATGTCTTCGTCTGCTACATGTCCCTCATCTTACGCCAGTATATAAACACCAGTCTTCACGTATGTGCTTCAGACCCTTCACAACTACAGTACTCTTCACCACCTCCAAGGCTGAGGGACTTATTACCTAATATTTTGTATATAGTTCTACTGTCTTTCAATTATGTCCTTGAATTTGTATTGATAAAGCCAGTGGATGGCAAAATTTCTACAATAAAGATACCTGGATGTTGTACATGTGTCAAATTCTTCATCTTGTCAGTACTGTATACCATAATGAGTATAGAGACATATAATAGAAATTTAATTTCAGTACCTAATAAGGATTAGAAGAAATCATAAACAAAAATAGGTATTGGATATTTAATGAACAAATAATAAAGTACAGTGGACCCCTGCCTTACGATGGCATCGCATTACGTTAAATCTGCCGTACGATACATTTTAATGCAAAAAATTTGCCTCGCCTCACGTGATTTGTCTGGGACGTGTCCCACATGTGGCCTGAGCACGCCTCAGCTGCCCCGTGGATGCCAGTGTTTACAAGCCAGCCAGTGCGGTCGCATCCACGCATACATTCGGTACATTTCACACTATCACAGTGTTCTTAGTGATCGTAGCTGCAAAATAAGTCACCATGGGCCCCAAGAAAGCTTCTAGTGCCAACCCTGTGGTAAAAAGGGTGAAAATCACTATGGAAATGAAGAAAGAGATAATTGCTAAGTACAAAAGTGGAGTGCGTGTCTCGGAGCTGGCCAGGTTGTATACCAAACTCCAATCAACCATCGCTACTATTGTGGCCAACAAAACGGCAATCAAGAAAGCTGTTCTTGCAAAAGGTGCAAGTTTGTTTTCGAAACAGAGATCGCAAGTACTCGAAGATGTTGAGAGACTGTTACTGGTGTGGATAAATGAAAAGCAGATAGCAGGAGATACCATCTCTCAAGTGATCATACGTAAAAAGGGTGAGAAATACGTACTATCGTACCACGGTCAGCTGCTGCTGCACCACCGTCAGCTGTTGCTGCACCACGGTCAGCTGTTGCTGCACCACCGTCAGCTGTTGCTGCACCATGGTCAGCTGCTGCTGCACCACCGTCAGCTGCTGCTGCACCACCGTCAGCTGTTGCTGCACCACGGTCAGCTGCTGCTGCACCACGGTCAGCTGCTGCTGCACCACAGTCAGCTGTTGTTGAACCATGGTCAGCTGCTGCTGTACCACAGTCAGCTGCTGCTGCACCACAGTCAGCTGCTGCTGCACCACTGTCAGCTGTTGCTGCACCACGGTCAGCTGTTGCTGAACCACAATCAGCTGCTGCTGCACCATGGTCAGCTGCTGCTGCACCACAGTCAGTTGCTGCTGCACCACCATCAGCTGTTTCTGACCAACATGACTCATCCCGAACCTGTCCATCCAGCCCTGCCGTGATTGTTTACAAGCCAGGGTGGCCGGTTGCATGCATACATTCGATACATTTTGTATTATTCCATTGTTTATAGTGCTTGTAACTGCTAAATAAGCCACCATGGGCCCAAAGAAAGCTTCTAGTGCCAACCCTGTGGTAAAAAGGGTGAGAAATACATACTATCAAACCACAGTCAGCTGCTGTTGCACCACGGTTCTATATGTTGGACAGTTAAATAACCATGCCACATATAAACTAAATAATATAGATCTTAATACTACTGATTGTGAAAAGGATTTAGGAGTTCTGGTTAGCAGTAACCTAAAACCAAGACAAGAGTGCATCAGTGTTTGCAGTAAAGCTAACAGAATTCTTGGCTTCATATCTAGAAGTATAAATAATAGAAGTCCTCAGGTTGTTCTTCAACTCAATATATCCTCGGTTAGGTCTCATTTAGACTATGCTGCTCAGTTCTGGTCACCGTATTACAGAATGGATATAAATGCTCTGGTAAACATACAGAGGAGGATGACAAAGATGATCCCATGTATCAGAAATCTTCCATATGAGGATAGACTGAGGGCCCTGAATCTGCACTCTCTCGAAAGGCGTAGAATTAGGGGGGATATGATCGAGGTGTATAAATGGAAAACAGGAATAAATAAAGGAGATGTAATAGCGTGTTGAAAATTTCCAGCCAAGACAGGACTCGCAGCAATGGTTTCAAGTTGGAAAAATTCAGAATCAGGAAGGAAATAGGAAAGCACTGGTTTGGTAATAGAGTCGTGGATGAGTGGAACAAACTCCCGAGTACAGTTATTCAGGCTAAAATGTTGTGTAGTTTTAAAAATAGGTTAGATAAATACATGAGTGGGAGTGGGTGGGTGTGAGTTAGACCTGACTAGCTTGTGCTGCTGGGTCTGGTACCATGCTCCATCCTTGAGTGGAGGTGACCAGACTGGGTGGGTCATTGGGCTAATCCGGGGGAGTGGGTCATTGGGCTAATCCGGGTGGGACACATGGACCTGCTCTGCATGGGTCAGTAGGCCTGTTGCAGTGTTCCTTCTTTCTTATGTTCTTATGTCAGCTGTTGCTGCTGCTGCACCACCATCAGCTGTTGCTGCTGCTGCACCACCATCAGCTGTTGCTGCTGCTGCACCACCATCAGCTGTTGCTCCACCACCATCAGCTGTACTACTTGAAGATGTAGAGAGTGTGTTGGTAACTGTTTCCTGTTAAGCCACACCAACAAGAAACAATTAACCCTAGATGGTTAGCCACCCAGGATAACCCAAGAAAGCCAGTGCATCATCGAGGACTGTCTAACTTATTTTCATTGGGGTCCTTAATCTTGTCCCCCAGGATGCGACCCACAACAGTCGAATAACACCCTGGTGAACAGGAAAAAATGCCTGGAACTAGTGCTTATATTGGTGAATTTAAGGCCAGCAAAGGTTGGTTTGAGAGATTTAAGAATTGTAGTGGCATACACAGTATGATAAGGCATGGTGAAGCTGAAAAATTCCAACCCCAACAAGTGTTCAATTGTGACGAAACAGGCCTGTTCTGGAAGAAAATGCCAAACAGGACCTACATTACTCAGGAGGAAAAGGCACTCCCAGGACACAAGCCTATGAAAGACAGGCTAACTCTCATGTTATGTTGTAGTGCTAGTGGGGATTGTAAAGTGAAGCCTTTACTCATGTATCACTCTGAAAATCCCAGAGTGTTCAAGAAAAACAGTGTCTCATCACTCATCAATACTCTTCAATAAAGGTAAGTGTCATTTTAACATTTATTTATGTAGTTATTGTGCATGTCTCATTGTTTTCTTTGTAGGGAAACATATATTTCTGGAAAAAAAATTTTTTTTAATACTTTTGGCTGTCTGGAACAGATTAATTTGATTTCCATTATTTCTTATGGGGAAAATTAATTCGCCTTACGATAATTTTGGCTCACGATGCGCTCTCATGAACGGATTAATATTGTAAGGTGGGGTCTACTGTACTCTTATTTTGAACACAAAGCAATTTTATTTTAATACTGTATGTAAAAATTTTTTATAGAGCTTCCTAAAAGGAAGTGTCAAAAGCAGTTGAAAAAGACATTACCTAATCCAACAGGCAGCAAACGTTCTCTAGATGATATATCTGGATTGCCATACTTTGCAAGATTCTTATGCTCGATGGATTTAAAGGCCTCATCTGCTAGGAAAAAAGCATAATGTATATAAAAAATAGTTAAGCTCGTAAAAAATTTATAACTCAAGAGAAGCAAACAGCCTTGAGTTATGCTGGGTTTGGCTATTGTGCAATGCTCAGCCTAAAAAATCCTGCTTGCCACAAAACACACTAAGGTGCACAAGCTTTAATGTAGGTTAAAATTTTTTTGCATCAAGAAGCACTATAAGGTTGAATCAGTTCCCTCTGGGTAGAATGTTTTAGCAATAACAGTATTGCATTTTTTTTAGCCAAATAATCTAAGAACACAAGAGAAGAGCACTGCAAATGCTAGGCAGGCCCTCAAAAGCAGCCGTTCTCATTCATTTACTTCTCTCACTTATTCTTGAAGCTACCCAGGAACTACTGTATCGGTACCTTATATGAATAAATGGACTTAGTGTCAACTGACCTTTAATAGGTGGTCCAAGAGTGTGAACCGATTTAGGGGACAAGTGACTTCCTGATACTGGTGTTTTTTTCACCTCCCGTCCATTTGTTTTCTGCTGCTGAAATGTATTCCCGTATATCACTATATGTGCTAGCTCAAGAGATGTAAAAATTGCAGAGCAATTTAACTGCAGTAAACTCTGTAAAACTCATCTCTTGAGAAAATTATTTCCTTTTAGAGACTGAGCTTTCAAAGGCCCTGGAAACAAGATATTCTTGAGAAAGCTGACACTTAAACTAATTTTCATATTTAACACATCTTATTTTTTATTGCTCACTAAGTTTTTTTTTCTGAGAAGGAAAGGTAACTCTTTTCCTACTTTTTATCTTGTTTCACATAAGTAATTTGAGAACAAGGTCACCATTAAAATTAGAAATAATACATGTACAAGTAAGACTGGTAAGAGATACCAAGGCACATGATGTAACTTAAAACTAATATTTGGTTTAGAAATGCTGGAAAGATAGTATATTATAGAAGCAAATACATGGAGATCCTACCTCTGAGTGGCTGACTACCTTAGTACCATCTGTTCCAAGAATCCATGTTCGATGACAGTTGTTGTCTACATGACCATTGTTACTTTTCAATTTTCCAGGTGACCCTCTCTCACTGTCCTGAAGCTTTACATCAATTGTGGCAAGTTCAGCATTATGAATTCTGGAAAAATAAAATTAATGTAGAGTAAAATTTTTATTAAGCAGAGCAAAAGTACTAACATGACCAAACCCTTAAGGATCACACACAATCTGGGAAATGAGAGGTAATCAGACCTAATCCATGAAAGGGAAGGGTAGATCCACCAACATCAAGGCCTGTCTCTTGAATGATGTGCAGGCACAAAAAAAAAAAAGTAAGAAAAGTTTAGACTTGATATTGGTTACTAAACAAATAATCCACACACAGGAGAAGGAAACTTATGCTGACATTTTGGTCCGACTTGGATCATTAACTAGTTAATGGTCCAAGTCAGACTGAAATGTCATCATAAGTCAGACCAAAACATAGTCATAAGTTTCACTCTTCTATGTGCTGGTTACCTGGGTAGTCATGGCATTGTGCCTTTTTATTCTTTATCAATTACTAACAGACAATGTAAACTTGGTAATGCAAACAGAAATTTAAAGATACCCAAATATGTTTCCTTGATGCTGGCAAAAGTCTTTTGATCCAAGGAATTGGAACACAGGGCATGATGCTGAAGGCTCAGGATGAGTTGTCTGGCACTGTGGTTACCCACAGTGCCAGACAATAGAAAAGTAACACCAAGAACTATGATCAGCTGTTTTGAATTTCAAAACACTGGATCTGAAAGATATAAATGACTGTTTTATTTATAAAACTAGGTGTGTAATGAAACAAAGATGAAATAGTATTACATAATCTTTCAAAAAGAAAAGCTTAATAATCCTAAAAATTAACGTGGCAATAAAGCTTACTTGACAGTGAAGGATTCATCAAATGCTTGTATCTGTGAAGCCATAACTGATGTAACGGCCTGTGCACGGATGGTCTGTGGAACCATGATGGAAGCAGTTGCAGAAGGAAGTGCACACGGTGTGTGAGAGACAATCACTTTAGTACCACGATCGTGTTCCACACGCAACATAGCTTGTTCACCCTTCATGATGTTTTCATATGGTTCAAGTTCTCCTAGAGATTCCTGTGATCACACAGTTATATGAGAGTACTGTACTGAACTCTTACTGTATAAGATAAAGGATGAAAGTACTGAAATTATCATGGGGAAGCACTAAACCCATAAGGGTCATACAGCACCTGAAAAATGGAAAGAAATCTGGTTTGATGCAAGGAAGGGTAGATCCAATTCCTTGGACTAAGAGTATGGTAATAATAAAAATAATAAATATGGTACACATGACTCAGTATGCAACACATTTCAATAAATAAATGTATTAAAATAAATTTAATGAATATAGAAAAAGGAAAATAAATTTTATAAACAAAAATTTCAAAGCTATTTTTTTTTTTTTTTACAAAATACAACACTGAAGAACCTCTTCAGCAACAGTCATATTGGTGGGCAACATTGTTTCCCACACAAAGGTTCATTATAAGTAATGTGATTTACTTACAGTTTCTCAGCTACTGGTACCTTAGCGAGCCATCGTCACCCCTCATTTAGCCAAACCAGGATTTGCTCACACATGAGGCACTCAACCTTGTGATTCTTTAAATTGTATCTCTATACTAAGTTTGGACCTATTGTAAGACAACAATATGTCATCCAAGAATGGAAAATTAAACTTTTCTTTCTTTCAATATGCTGGCTGTTTTCCACCGAAGCACGGTGACCCCCAAAAAAAAGAAACACTTTCAACATCATTCAACACTTTCACCATCATTCACACATAATCACAGTCTTTGCAGAGGCACACAGGCACAGATATGATAGTTCAGATGTCACTCCAAGCAGCAAATATCCCAAACCCCTCCTTAAAATAAACACCAGTAGTAAATACTAATAACCACGGTAATAAAGAGACTCGTATAAAGGTTATGAAAAGATAAATAAGTCTGACAGCAATACAGGTACCAGCAACAGTGCCAGGCCTTCTAATGTCTAAGTGAAGCATATTGGAAATTCACTAACAACTGAGATGAAAGTAAATTTACAGTACTTAAAAAACTCAAAACGGGAGTAAGTATAACTTGTATTATGAGTGAGTATGATAGTGGCAGAACAACCGTGAATGATTTAAAGGCACAGAAAGATAGTACTCTTTAAAGGCACAGAAAGATACACTTTAAAGGCACAGAAGGATATGCTTTAAAGGCACAGAAAGATACGCTTTAAAGGCAGAGATACTCTTTAATGGTATTTTTCAGACACTGATTGCATAGTCCATGTTAGACGTAAGAATTTATGTAGCCTTGCATACCAAGATGTCAATATTTTATATAAACAGTTCTGCCAGGGGCTCAGCAACAGTGAGTCTTTTTCTGGAAGAATAATGACAGAATATGGACAACATATCAACATAGAGCAAAAGCACTGCAAATACATATTGCAAGATCAACTATAAATCATTATGATGTGTCAACTACCTGATAACTGGAAAACTACAAATATGGTCCTAATTTTCACCTACAAATCATTACTGAAACCAAAAACAATTTAACTTTTGGGTGACAAGAATACCTCTGCCAAACGTATCAATGAAACTATATACAGTAATACTGATATACTGAGATACTGCAAAATGTTTTCTAGTTTTAGCCATGAAAAATTAGGAAACTCTAGAAAAACGTTTTGTCTGCAAGCCCTTGACACAACTAACTAATAAAGGTAAGTGGGTGACTGGTAATGGCAATTGTGGTGGGTAAAGAGGAGATGGTTTTGTTACGATATTAACAAAAACTGACAATTTAAAACCAACAGACTTTACCCGTTGTTTTTGAACTGATTGATCCAGCAGATTTTGTTCTATATTTCCACAGTCTCCTATGTCAATAAAGACCCCTAGTGTTGCCATATGTCTTACTTAACTTGTTAGTAGTGTATACGATTTATAATACGAAAGTCTGTTATACTGAGATTTTAACCCTTTGACTGTTTCGGTCGTACATATACGTCTTACGAGCCAATGTGTTTGATGTATATATACTCAAAAATTCTAACAGCTTCAAATTAAGCGGGAGAAAGCTGGTAGGCTCACATGTGAGAGAATGGGTCTGTGTTGTCAGTGTGCACAGCATAAAAAACATCCTGCAGCAAGCAGTGTATAATGAGAAAAAAAGACTCCGAGCTTGTTTTTGGATTAAAATGCCGACTTTGAGGTGTATTTTCGTATAGTTTTTATGGTTATATTCTCATTTTCGTAGTCACATTTGATAGAATGGAAAACATATTATAGAATGGAAAACATATTATAGAAATAGAGGTGATTTTGATTGGTTTTACTATGAAAAGGACCTTGAAATGGAGCTCAAAGTAGGGGAAATGTTTGATTTTTGTCGATGTTCAAGAGTAAACAAATGACATCATTGTCCAATAAATGTTCAACTAGCCATTCTAATATGCAGTCATGAATGGGCTGACATTATTTATACAATTATTACAATATTGCAGTAGTCTGCATAACAGTAAATCTTCTATTTTTTGTTTGAATAAAATTTCAAAATAGAAAGCAAGAGTAATATCAGAGGGGCCTGGAGATGTGACTGATTAACAAAGAAAATGTTATTTTAGTGTCAGGAATGTCTGCATTGTTCATTCTGGGCCCTATTTTGAAATTGGCGTATTTTTTTAATTTGTGTGAAATTGGCCAAATTGAGAATTTCTGGCCACTTTATTGGGTAATTGAAATTGGTAAATGGGCAGTTTCTTGTACTCAATCGATAGAAAAAATGGAGTTCTAAAGAAATAGCTATGAGTTTGGTCGACTGGAACAATGTAATTAGCCGAAAATAGGGTTCAAAGTGGGTGAAATCTCTGATTCGTAAACATAGCCGAGGTCGCTAACTTCGTGAGAGCGTAATTCCGTAAGTTTCCCATCAAATTTCATACTTTTGGTGTCATTACCATCAGGAAAAGATTCTCTATCATTTCATAAGTAAAAATAATTTTTTTTTTTCAAATACGTATTCTGCAACAGCAAGAGACACATCAGGATTTGGGTTTGCGACAGTCAAAGGGTTAATGTACTGAACAACTTGTTACTTGATAACTGTCTAGGAAGATTGAACCCTCCAACAAATCCTCCTCTCCAAATTGTCTTTATTTTTTTTTAACACGTCGTGTGTTTCCCACCAAGGTAGGGTGACCCAAAAAGAAAGAAAAGCCCAAAAAGAAAGAGAAAACTTTCATCATCATTCAACACTTTCACCATCACTCATACATAATCAATGTCTTTGCAGAGGTGCTCAGATACAACAGTTTAGATGTCCCTCCAAGCTGCCAATATCCTAAACCCCTCCTTTAACCCTTTGACTGTCACAACCCCAAATCCTGAGGTGTCTCCTGGTGTCGCACAATTTCCAAAAAAAAAAAACTATTTTTCTTGTGAAATGATAGAGAATCTTTTCCCGATTGTAATGACACCAAAAGAATGAAATTTGATGGAAACCTGATGGAATTACGCTCTTGCAAAGTTAGCGACCTCTGCAATATTTACGAATCGGCAATTTCACCCACTTTGAGCTAATTTTCGGCTAATTCCATTGTTCCAGTCGACCAAACTCATAGTTATTTCTTTAGAACTCCATTTTTTTTCTATCGACTGAGTACAAGAAACTGCCCATTTGCCGATTTCAACTACTCAATAACGTGGCCAGAAATTTGCAATTTGGCCAATTTCACGAAAATTAAAAAATATGACAATTTCAAAATAGGATCCAGAATGAACAATGCAGACATTCCTGGCTCTAAAATAACATTTTCTTTGTTCATCAGTCACATCTCCAGGCCCCTCTGATATTACTCTTGCTTTCTATTTTGAATTTTTATTCAAACAAAAAATAAAAGATTTACTGTTATGCAGACTACTGCAATATTGTAATAATTGTATAAATAATGTCAACCCATTCATGACTGCATATCAGAATGGCTACTTGGACATTTATTGGAAAATGACATCATTTGTATACTTTCAAACATCGACAAAAATCAAACATTTCCTCTACTTTGAGCTCCATTTCAAGGTTCTTTTCATAGTAAAACCAATCAAAATCACCTCTATTTCTATAATATGTTTTCCATTCTATCAAATGAGACCAAGAAAACGAGAATACAGCCATAAATACTTTACAAAAATAGATCACAAATTTGGCATTTTAATTAAAAAAAACGGTTGGAGTTTTTTTTTTCTCATTATACACTGCGTGCTGCAGGATTTTTTTTATATGGTGCACACTGACCACACAGACCCATTCTCTTACATGTGGGCCCACCAGCTTTCTCCTGCTTGATTTGAAGCCGTTAGAATTTATGAGTGTATATACGTCAAAAACGGTGGCTCGTAAGACATATATATATATATATGACTGAAACAGTCAAAGGGTTAAAGTGCAGGCATTGTACTTCCCGTTTCCAGAACCAGTTTCCCTGAATCCCTTCACAAAATATTACCCTGCTCACACTCCAACGGCTTGTCAGGTCCCAAAAACCATTCGTCTCCATTCACTCCTATCTAGCATGCTCATGCACACTTGCTGGAAGTCCAAGCCCTTCACCCACAAAACCTTCTTTACCCCCCACCTCCAACCTTTTCGGGGACAACCCCTACCCCACCTTCCTATGCATAATGAGAAGTGATACTGACTAAAGAAAAAGATGAAGTTTCATTCAAAAAAAATAATTGCTCAGCAATAAAAAACATACAAACTGTAGCATACCTGGTAAATGGGACTGTCTGTTTTTGGACTTTCAGGTATGGCTTCCAATTCTGGTTCTATATCATCGCCATCTGCAGCATAGCTGTAAAAAGAAAATATTTAAAGAATAAACCAACTCAACTAAAATATTTTTACCACAATAGCTATTTCCCACCAACATTCATCATCATTCATTCAATAGCTTCTTTTATTATTATCATTTTTTATTATTAGCACACTGGCCGATTCCCACCAAGGCAGGATGGCCCGAAAAAGAAAAACTTTCACCATCATTCACTCCATCACTGTCTTGCCAGAAGGGTGCTTTACACTACAGTTTTTAAACTGCAACATTAACACCCCTCCTTCAGAGTGCAGGCACTGTACTTCCCATCTCCAGGACTCAAGTCCGGCCTGCCGGTTTCCCTGAATCCCTTCGTAAATGTTACTTTGCTCACACTCCAACAGCACGTCAAGTATTAAAAACCATTTGTCTCCATTCACTCCTATCAAACACGCTCACGCATGCCCGCTGGAAGTCCAACCCCCTCGCACACAAAACTTCCTTTACCGCCTCCCTCCAACCTTTCTTAGGCCGACCCCTACCCTGCCTTCCTTCCACTACAGACTGATACACTCTTGAAGTCATTCTGTTTCGCTCCATTCTCTCTACATGTCCGAACCACCTCAACAACCCTTCCTCAGCCCTCTGGACAACAGTTTTGGCAATCCCGCACTTCCTCCTAACTTCCAAACTACGAATTCTCTGCATTATATTCACACCACACATTGCCCTCAGACATGACATCTCCACTGCCTCCAGCCTTCTCCTCGCTGCAACATTCATCACCCATGCTTCACACCCATATAAGAGCGTTGGTAAAACTATACTCTCATACATTCCCCTCTTTGCCTCCAAGGACAAAGTTCTTTGTCTCCACAGACTCCTAAGTGCACCACTCACCCTTTTCCCCTCATCAATTCTATGATTCACCCCATCTTTCATAGACCCATCCACTGACACGTCCACTCCCAAATATCTGAATACATTCACTTCCTCCATACTCTCTCCCTCCAATCTGATATCCAATCTGTTATCACCTAATCTTTTTGTTATCCTCATAACCTTACTCTTTCCTGTATTTACTTTTAATTTTCTTCTTTTACATACCCTACCAAATTCATCCACCAACCTCTGCAATTTCTCTTCAGAATCTCCCAAGAGCACAGTGTCTTCAGCAAAGAGCAACTGTGACAACTCCCACTTTATGTGTGATTCTTTATCTTTTAACTCCACGCCTCGTGCCAAGACCCTCGCATTTACTTCTCTTACAACCCCATCTATAAATATATTAAACAACCACGGTGACATCACACATCCTTGTCTAAGGCCTACTTTTACTGGGAAATAATCTCCCTCTTTCCTACATACTCTAACTTGAGCCTCACTATCCTCGTAAAAACTCTTCACTGCTTTCAGTAACCTACCTCCTATATCATACACCTGCAACATCTGCCACATTGCCCTCCTATCCACCCAGTCATATGCCTTTTCCAAATCCATAAATGCCACAAAAAGCTCTTTAGCCTTATCTAAATACTGTTCACTTATATGTTTCACTGTAAACACCTGGTCCACACACCCCCTACCTTTCCTAAAGCCTCCTTGTTCATCTGCTATCCTATTCTCCATCTTACTCTTAATTCTTTTAATAATAACTCTACCATACACTTTACCAGGTATACTCAACAGACTTATCCCCCTATAATTTTTGCACTCTCTTTTGTCCCCTTTGTCTTTATACAAAGGAAGTATGCATGCTCTCTGCCAATCCCTAGGTACCTTACCCTCTTCCATACATTTATTAAACAATAGCACCAACCACTCCAAAACTATATCCCCACCTGCTTTTAACATTTCTATCTTTATTCCATCAATCCCAGCTGCCTTACCCCCTTTCATTTTACCTACTGCCTCACGAACTTCCCCCCACTCACAATTTTTATTATTATTATTGGCTATTTTAATTCAATGGCTGTCTCCTGCCAAGGCAGGGTGACCCAAGGAAGAAATTACATTCACCAACATTCACTCAACCACTGTCTTTTCTGAGAGTGCTGACATTACAGTTCAGATGGCCCTCCAAATTGCAGCATCCTCACCCCTTCATCATAGTGTGGGCAATGTACTTCCCATATCCAGGACTCAAATTTGCCTAAATGGTTTCCCTGAATCCCTTCATGTTACCTTGCTCACATTCCAACAACACATCAAATCATAAAAAACACTTACCTCCACTCATTCAGATCTAATTTGCTTATATAGGCCTGTTCAGTGCTCAAGCCCATAGCACTCAAAATCTCCTTGACCTTGTCCCTCCTTCCTGGGACAACCCTTAACCCCTCCTTCCCTCTATCCCTGCTTTCTACACCCAGCTCATAGCTAGGCTCTGGGAGAAGAAAAATTTTCGGAACTCTAAGGTTTATCAAAGGTCTTTCTTTCAACACACCGGCCGTATCCCACCAAGGTGGGGTGGCCTAAAAAGAAAAACGAAAGCGTCTCCTTTTACATTTAGTAATATATACAGGAGAAGGGGTTACTAGCCCCTTGCTCCCGGCATTTTAGTTGCCTCTTACAACACGCCCAAACCACCTCAACAACCCCCCTTTAACAAACCCGCTCAACAAACCACCTCAACAACCACCTTACTAAACCACCTCAACAATCCTCTCTGAATTATATTTTTGGAAACCCACACCTTCTTCTAATCACCATGCTCTGAATTCTCTTTATGTCTGTATCTATATGTTAGTGCATCAAGGTGTAACCTCTTCCTCTCACTGTAGCTACCATTAATGATCTAATACACCTATTTGTGTTCAGGGTTAGTAGTGAGGAACTGTGGTAGCAATGACACAACTGGAGGGACTGTTATTCTTATATTGATGGAGTAAGACACAGCCCAGCCTCAGCACGTCTACCCCTTATCCTAGTCTGCACCTAACTGGTTGGCCTATGGCCTAGCCAGACACTGTTCATGTGGAGTCACGTGACACCAGAGTAACGGACAAAGAGGGGCCAACATAGGGTGATACATAATAATAATAATAATAATAATAATAATAATAATAATAATAATAATAATAATAATAATAATAAGTTTATTTCTTTGTAAAGGTTACAATGTGTAATTACAATTTTGATTTGCTAAGTACAAAGATAGCCACTAACATGCCGAGGCATTTCGGGCAAACTAATCCTTATACATAGTAACTAATTAAAACTAGATAAGATAATAGTACATAGTAATTATTACTTAGAACTAAACATAGAATAGTGGTTAGCTGTTTTACAATCTTATTTGGACTTAACAATTCTTATGTACACTTAGTACAAAATCTAATTTACAAGGAATGGTGCAGGTGGTAATATTTTATGGAATGGCAGAATTAAAAGCCAGGAGGTCACATGATAAAACTAGCCAGTAGATGTTTGGTTGATTTGGTTAATATTGTGAGATAAGATGATTTTTTAGCAGAGTCCTAAATTTATAAGTTGTCTGGGGATCCTTGACTTGTTCCGGTAGCAAGTTCCAGATCTTTGGGCCTTTTATGTGCATAGCTTTCATACATAGTGAGAGCTTTACTCAAGGGACGTTGAAAAGGGCCATATGCCTTGTATTGTGACTGTGCATTCTGTTGTAACTGTTGAGGAGTAGTTTTAGGGGGAAGTTTACAGCGGAGTTTAAAGTTCTGTATATGTAGTAGGCACAATAATAAGAGTGTATGTCTTGTATATTTAGCAAGTTGAGTCTTTTGAAAAGTGGTGGGGTGTGCTGTCTAGCACAGGAGCTGGTTATCACCTGCACAGCAACCTTTTGTTGGATTATTAAGGGTCTAAGGTGGTTGGCTGTGTTAGAGCCCCAGGCACAGATACCATAGGTGAGGTAAGGATATATTAGAGAGTGATACAAGGTAAGGAGAGTTGTTTGTGGTACATAATAGCATATCTTGAAAAGGATTCCTAATGATTTGGAAATTTTCTTGGCTATGTGATGGGTATGGGACTGAAATTTAAGATTACAGTCAAGGAGAAGACCTAGAAATTTGCCCTCAGTGTGTCTTGATATAGGGGAACCATTTAACAGTATGTTGAGTTGAATATTTGAGGCTCTGTTGCCAAACAGCATGAAGTAAGTTTTTTCTATGTTAAGTGTGAGTTTATTGGTCATCATCCAAGCATAAATCTAGTATATACTATACAAATATTGTACTGCTGACATATTGCCCCTGTAGAAATATGCACTATTCAGAAATCTACCCATCAACCTTTTATCCATTAATACATGGTCTATCAAAATGATGTCACCACCTTATATCACTGGGTTTATAAAACTCCCAAAACATTTGCTAAACACCTCCCAAAATCTCTCTCTCCTCTCTTCTCCAAGAGCATTAGCACTTATTATAACCCACTTCTCATAACCCACCTTTATTCTAATATACATAATTCTTGAAATGTATATAAAAAATAAAGGTACTTACTTTGACTCATTGTTCTTTCTTTGCTTCCTGCTGTCTTCTGATCCAATAGATCCCAATTTGAGATGACCATGCATTGTCATACCCCTGCAAAGTCAGTTATATTTAATAGAAACTTTATTATTGTACAGAATAAGTGACAAAATAATCATATATAAGATTATAAAACCTGCCTTGACAGGAAACAGCTGATATGGTAAAAAGATTTCCTAAAAGTCTCAACATAGAGCAAAAGGCTCTGATATAACAACATAATGAGTTACAACATGAGGTATTCAATGCTACAAACACTGGAAATATTAAAAACCTTACCACAGATTAAATACTGAGAATGGAACACAACCAGCTTAACTCTAGTTTGTCAAGTCACCAACAAGTAACTCCATTTCGAGCTCAAATTCTTCAAATCCCGACACTTTTTTTTTTTAAATTAAATATCCCTCACACACTTAACCTCCACCTATTTATCCCTACACTTCTCCTCCAACCATTTTTTCCAACATTCTCCCGAGCCTTTACCCTATATTTTCCCTACATTATTCCTTGCATTCTCCGTCACAGTCATTTCTTACACTTTCCCAGTTTTTCTCTCCACTCTACACTTTACTTTCATAACTCAAGTTACACATCACAGTGAGTGCAATAAATACTTTTGGAATCTGACTGAAAATTCAGAATTTTCACTATAAAAGGTTTCAAATTTTCAAATCATTCTGAATATAAGATCAAAATTCTAAATTTGGAATTACTGTACAATATTATTATTATTTATGCAAAGTGTTAAGCCTGTGTGGGTCATCCAAGCCATAATGAAGACTCAATTGTTTATCTGCTGATCACAGTTAGTTCTCAAATAGGAGGCATTACTGCATTATTTTAAATATTTATTTTAAATATTTACTAGGAAAACAATGAATACAATTTTTTTTAACACTGGCTGTCTCCCACTGAGGCAGAGTGAGCCCCCCAAAAAAAAGGAACACTTTCACCATCATTTACGCTATCACTGTCTTGAAAGAGGCACACGGATATGACAGTTTAAATACTAATGATTTTTCACATGTAATACCTTGTATCCTGGCCAACAGGAGTAAAGGCAGACTTGTGGTCGGCAACATACTGTGCCCGTGCCTCAGTATGAGGCCCTCCTGTAACAAGAGTGATCCGACCACCTCCAGGGAAAAGCCCAGGTGACTGTGGTGGAGAGTCTGCAGGATGCTCAGTTTCATTTCCTCCAATAGATCCTTGACTCACTTCTAAACAGAAAATCAAATGCAAAGTGAGAAACTACATGGGTAGAATAATTATTGTTATTTTCATTTAATGATGAGGGAAAGCACTAAACTTGAAGGGGTCATAGAGCACCTGGAGAATGGGAGATAATTTGTTTTGTTCCAAGAAAGGGGATGATGAGTCCAATTTCTTGGATCAAGAGCCCCTTCCCAGCATCAAGAAACCTTCCGTGAGTGACTGGACAGAAACCACAGAAAAGAAGCACAGGTAAAGAGAGATTTGTATACTGTATTTGAGCCTCAGAGTCTCTCTTCAGAGGACAATCAAGTGATAGAAAACTGCTATTTAACACGATAAAAATCACTATTATTACATCATGTCACATTGCCTCTTTAGCTGGAAGAATTCATGTGACACAGCATACTGATACTGATTCATGAAATCATAATAACACGATCGCAAACAATGGGTTAACCACTGAGCCAGCTGGGTCTAATAAGATTCATGCACCTAGGCATATTTCTATACACTACAGGGAGGTGTAGGATTCATTTGTAAAACCCTACATTTGTGGTCATTGGGGCCTATGATGACCCCCCCCCCCATCAAATACAAGCTTCCCTCAAGCCCTACTTTTTTTTTTTTTTATTATCACACCGGCCGATTCCCACCAAGGCAGGGTGGCCCGAAAAAGAAAAACTTTCACCATCATTCACTCCATCACTGTCTTGCCAGAAGGGTGCTTTACACTACAGTTTTTAAACTGCAACATTAACACCCCTCCTTCAGAGTGCAGGCACTGTACTTCCCATCTCCAGGACTCAAGTCCGGCCTGCCGGTTTCCCTGAATCCCTTCATAAATGTTACTTTGCTCACACTCCAACAGCACGTCAAGTATTAAAAACCATTTGTCTCCATTCACTCCTATCAAACACGCTCACGCATGCCTGCTGGAAGTCCAAGCCCCTCGCACACAAAACCTCCTTTACCCCCTCCCTCCAACCCTTCCTAGGCCGACCCCTACCCCGCCTTCCTTCCACTACAGACTGATACACTCTTGAAGTCATTCTGTTTCGCTCCATTCTCTCTACATGTCCGAACCACCTCAACAACCCTTCCTCAGCCCTCTGGACAACAGTTTTGGTAATCCCGCACCTCCTCCTAACTTCCAAACTACGAATTCTCTGCATTATATTCACACCACACATTGCCCTCAGACATGACATCTCCACTGCCTCCAGCCTTCTCCTCGCTGCAACATTCATCACCCACGCTTCACACCCATATAAGAGCGTTGGTAAAAACTATACTCTCATACATTCCCCTCTTTGCCTCCAAGGACAAAGTTCTTTTTCTCCACAGACCCTAAGGCACCATCCCTCTTTTTCCCTCATCAATTTTTTGATTTACCTCACTTTATAGACCATCCCCTGACCTCCACTCCCAAAATCGAATACGTTCACCCCCCCATACTCTCTCCCTCCCTTGATATTAATCTTTCAAACCTAATCTTTTTGTATCCTCATAACCTTACTCTTTCCGTATTCACCTTTAATTTTCTTCTTTTGCACACCCTACCAAATTATCCACCCAAACTCTGCAACTTTCTTCGAATCTCCCAGGCACAGTGTCATCAGCAAAGAGCAGGGGACAACTCCCCCTTTTGTGTGGATTTTTTATCTTTTAATCCCCCGCCTCTTCCCCAAAACCCCCGCATTTACTTCTCTTAAACCCCATCTATAAATATTTAAACAACCACGGTGACATCACACATCCTTGTCTAAGGCCTACTTTTACTGGGAAAAAATTTCCCTCTTTCCTACATACTCTAACTTGAGCCTCACTATCCTCGTAAAACTCTTCACTGCTTTCAGTAACCTACCTCCTAAAACCATACACTTCCCAAATCTGCCACATTGCCCCCCTATCCACCCTGTCATACGCCTTTTCCAAATCCATAAATGCCACAAAGACCTCTTTTAGCCTTATCAAAATACTGTTCACTATATTTTTTCACTGTAAACACCTGGTCCACACCCCCCCTACCTTTCCTAAAGCCTCCTTGTTCTTTCTGCTATCCTATTCTCCGTCTTACTTTTAAATTTTCTTTCAATTATAACTCTACCATACACTTTACCAGGTACACTCAACAAAACTTATCCCCCTATAATTTTTGCACTCCCCTTTTTATCCCCTTTGCCTTTAACAAAGGAACTATGCATGCTCTCTGCCAATCCCTAGGTACCTTACCCTCTTCCATACATTTTATTAAATAATTGCACCAACCACTCCAAAACTATTCCCCCCCTGCTTTTAACATTTCTATCTTTATCCCATCAATCCCGGCTGCCTTACCCCCTTTCATTTTACCTACTGCCTCACGAACTTCCCCCACACTCACAACTGGCTCTTCCTCACTCCTACAAGATGTTATTCCTCCTTGCCCTATACACGAAATCACAGCTTCCCTATCTTCATCAACATTTAACAATTCCTCAAAATATTCCTTCCATCTTCCCAATACCTCTAACTCTCCATTTAATAACTCTCCTCTCCTATTTTTAACTGACAAATCAATTTGTTCTCTAGGCTTTCTTAACTTGTTAATCTCACTTATGGTAGCTTATTTAACCCTTTCACTGTTGGTGCCATAGCACTACAACTTGCACGCCAGTGTTGGTGCTGCAGTACTACGCCAAAATATTAGCGGCTTCAAATCTAGCAGGAAAAAGCTGGTAGACCTACATATGAGAGAACGGGTCTGCGTGGTCAGTGTGCACAGTATAAAATAATCGGGGAGCCAGTGGCGCACTGTGGGAGTCCCATTTCAGTAGGCTTTGTTCACCATGCCTTGCGGTAAGAAATACCTGGCTCCCAGGCAAACTGGGACTCTTTCTCTTCCCAAGTGATGGTTCTAACACAGATGGAAGTGTCAGTGAAGATGAATTTCATGGTTTTGAGGAGTTTGTGACCGAAATCAATGACCAGGATACCAGAAATAGTGCTGAAAACCCAGATGACCATCAACGTAGGATAACCCAAAAAAGTCAAAGTGACTTATTTCCATGTGGGTGGTGGGAAGACAGCATGCTTGGTGGGATAGACAGTATGGGTAATGGGTGGTGGTGGTTGTGCAATGCATCATATGACACCAGCCATGCCGCTGACTCAGCACATCCACAACAAAGGCCACCTGCAACCACCCACACAGCACAACCACCTTCCACAAGCTGTAACAGTTCAAGGAACGTGTCCAGTGACTCCATATGTATATATATATACCGTACAGTGGAACCTTGGGTTCCAAACGCCCCACCATGCGAATTTTTCAGGATACGAACAGTCGTTTAGTCGATTTTTTGCTTCAGGATACGAAAGAAATTTCAGGATGCGAACTTTCCCCTCAAGGGAGGTTCCTTAAATAAATAAATAAAATACATACATGTATTTCTTTGCAAAGGTTACAATGTGTGTTTACATATCATAATACGATTGGAGCAAAGAAAGCCACTATCATGCCAAGGCATTTCAGGCAGAAATACCTACTTAAGACTACACTTACGTCTAGACAGGTGAAAAGTGTACTAGTAGTGGTTACCAGTGTTTATATATAATATAATGATATGTAATAGTACAATAATAATTATAATAATAATACTTGTACGTACTGCATATAATTTAGTTTGACAACACCACCACAATGGTCACCAGTGCACATGTGCTCATGGAGCTACCCTCACGGTGCAAGGAATTCTCGTGATTCCCTTACGTTTCGTGCAATTAATTTGCCAGATTTCTTTCTTCTAACCATGGGTCCTAAGGAAGCAAGTGCAAAGGACAGTGCCGAGAAGAAAAAGAGGATGATTTTCATGGAATTAAAGCAAGAAACGATTAATAAGCACAGACTAGGTATGAGGGTTGAGGACTTAGCGAGTTGAGTACAACAGGTACTACATGTACAACATGTACTACATGTACCTACAGGTTTAGCGCTTCCCCATGATTAATAATAATAATAATAATAATATAATAATAATAATAATAATAATAATAATATAATCTACTATATGTACAATACTAAAGCAGGAGTCTATAAAGGCTACAGTGCCAGCAAAGGGCATTACAGTAATTTCTAAGCAGTGGACCTCTGTCAATTAAAAGATGGTAAAGCTGGTGTTGACATGGTTGACGGAGAAACAGCTCACAGGAGATACGTAGTGTAGTGAGATAAACATAAAAATTGTACATAGCGGTTCTTAAGAAAAGTGTGAACTCCTGACAGGATATGCCGCTCTGCATATCTTCTCCAAGGTATGTAAATGTCGTATGTACACCAGATCTAATTCAGTTAGCCTCACAAACTCTGTTTTCTCTGATAATAACACCTGTGACATTTCATAGCGAGAATACGCGACCACTCCCGACCACAATCCTCCTCCCTCCGCCGTCCATGTAATGACATATTTTATTCATTCTAGAATGTATATCAGGTTTCTATGTTATTTATATTGTTTATTATGTCATATCAGATGAATTGTGACAGATAAAGAAGCCATAGAGTTGATATTAAGGTTATTTTGTCATGCCTCCTGAGAGCAGGAATTCAGCTGGAACAAATTAATTGCATTTCAATTAATTTAGATGAGGAAAATCAGGATACGAACAAGTCCACGGAACGGATTAAATTCATAACTCGAGGTTCCACTGTATTATAGAACAAAAGTAATAAACAACTTTTTTTATTGTTGGTTTGTGTAAACAAGTTTGTAAACAATGTAATGATAATGTTTGTGCGGTTACTGTATTGCATACAACGAGTGGATATTTATACATTATACATTATATTGGTCTCACAGGACACAAAAGTTACTTGAAAAAATAAAATATTAAAAAAAAAAAAAATAGAATAAAAGGAAAAATAATATTACTGAGTGAGTGGCAGTAGCCAATGTTGCCGTAAGCGGTTCACTTTCTGTCAACTTCATGCCTCTATATCTTATTAAGTACTGATGGCAAAAAATTTTTTTCTTTTAAAACACAGAAAAATATTCTTAAGATTTTGGTAATAAAAATTTTTTTTTTCGAATATTTTCGACACTGAGAGCAGGTTTGTGATCAGTCCTGTTGACAGTGAAAGGGTTAATAAGTAAATTTTTTAAGTTTTGGGTACACATCATACACTCTTATTTACAATGGTCTTGACAGCACACCAAAGTTATGAGACAATAAAAAGTACTTTATGTAAATTTAATCTTGGATAACCCAATAAAGTCAAAGACTACATATATGTCTGAGGGCCTTAAACTCACAACATCCAACTAGGAATGGTAAGGCAACATAAACACTCTCCAAATTCCAAAAACAACAATGCGCAATGTCAATAACTGTATTAATTCTAATGAATTAAGAATCTTCAAAACTTGTTTGGCTTCATTTGAGGGTCATAGAATGTAACTCAATTATTCTCATAAGTTGTTCACTCTGTGCTCCACATTTTCACATTTACGTAGCTTCATTGTTTTTTTTTTTTTTTGAACCTAACCCTCACAAAAGGTGAGAGCCTACAGTACTTGTAATCCATGCAATAAGTGCTCTCAAGCATTTACAAAAATTATATAATCAAGTGTTTATAATCAAATTCTAATGCTACCAAGACTTAACATATACATGACAACAAACCTCTAGAATATGCAGAGCTGGCAGCACACAAGGTTGGATCATCAACTTTCTGACAGCGATGAAAATGATTATCTATGGTATTCAGTACTATACGCACCAGAGAGAGCGCCTGCATTGAGAGTGGTTGACTGCTATACTTATACTGAAATTGCAACAAATTATTTAGTGACCAAAAACACATTAATTAAGAACAAAGACTGTGTAAGTTTGTAAAAACTTTCACTATACTGCCTGAAGAAACAAGGAAGTTAGAGACAGGCTATATAACTGGAATGGAATCAGAATGAGGGAACATTAATACGGTACATTATACTTTATGTGATTCAAGGTTTAAAAATTTTTAAGTACTGTATAATATACTGTGCTCACAATTAAAGAATGTCAGTCCTCTCTCCAACCATGACCACAGGATAGGTCGTCCCTTATGCCTCGCATCCTTCAATCATCTAGGAAATGATTAACACACATTATTCAGGGTTTCATGGGGTAAATTCCCCCACAACTTGTGGATGGCAACCTCCAGTTGTGGGAGTGGGCTAATATCCTTTTCCTCATAGATCTCTCTTTATCACACCCCAAAGATTCTCAATGGTGTTCAAGTATGGGGAATTTCCTGGACTATATCAAAAAAGGGTACCTCAAAGTCATGAAGCCAGTAAACAGTGCATTTTGCAGTGTGGTAAGAAGCACTATCTTGCATAAAAATCTTTGCACCACACTGCTTGAAAGATTCAAGCAAATGATCACATAGTAATTCTGGGTATGTTAGAGAGGATGCTTTTCTAGGCTTCCCATGACATGCTTTTGATGTGGACATGTCATCAACACCGTTCTCAAGGAAACTGACGCAATCAGGTCCTCACTGAATGTTCACACATGACGATGGTTTTTACTGTTTTCTTTGTCTGATGGCTTGCTTTATGTAATCTAATGATCTATGCAATTTTCCCATGTCAGTGACTTATTTCTGCCCACATTAATTTGTCTATAGACAAAAATGACTGATAAATTTGAACTCAAGACATCACGGCAGAGTAGACTATGGGCACAAATCCATCCATCACACAAGCCAGAAGGCATTTGGGGCACAGCCAGTAGCCTTAGAGAATCCTGAGATGTCCTGCTATGAGTTACCAAGCCACCATATCATTAACCCCTTAACTATCCAAACACAGATCTACGTTCTTACCGCTAGCGCTCCAAACGTAGATCTACGTTTTATTTTTCTTGCCTTCAAATTTGGCACGATTGCCTGAGATTCCTGGTCAGCATAGAATGGGTCTTAACCCTCAGTGTGTGCAGTATTAAAAAATCTGGGACCACTTAGTACCTTGTGGGAGCACCAATTCAACTGAGTGCCAGCTAGACCAAACAGCGTGGCAAACACCAAGGATTCCCTGATGTCATGTCGTATCAATACTCTCCTTTTAAGAGGAAAGTGATGTTGACCCCAAGTTTAGTGGCTCTGAGGTGGATGTGGCCACAAGTGGTTGTGGAAACATCAAAGACCTCGATAATAACCCATGTGCAGCATTTGTGCAACACCCTTTCAATTTTGGTACCACTGGTAGTGTCATCCTGCCAGAATGTCCTATAACCTATGTCTTAAGTAAAAAGAAACAATTCTGGAACGTGTAATATGTGTTTGGCAGGCTGGCTGGCCGGCGGCTGGCTGGCTGGCGGCTGGCTGACCAGCAGCTGGCTGGCTGGCTGGCTGACCAGCAGCTGGCTGGGCAGCTGGCTGGGCAGCTGGCAGGGCAGCTGGCTGGCTGATTGGCTGTCTCTATCTCCGTCTGTCTGTCTGTATTTATCTCTGTCTATCTCTTTCTCTGTATCTCTGTCTCTATATCACAGAAACACATATGTAAATACAATTATACATGGTGTAAATTACCTAGGATAACCCAAAAAATCCAGACAAAGTGCTATATGTACTGTGCTTGTAGATATAATGCATAATAAACATAAATGTCAACTAATACGCATTTTCACTTGCTCAGGAAGCAGACATGATCGTGTATAATACCACTTGGTTCATGAGCAATTCTCTGAGACAAGAGAGACTAGCAGACAGAGAGACAGAGACACATAGAAAGACAGACACACAGACAGATAGACAGAGAGCTAGACAGACAGATAGACAGACAGACATGTTTATTTGTAACAGTTAAAACATATAAAGTGAAGGTAGTGTTTGCTCATCAAATGTCACCATTAGCTGCACTGTCAGCAGTAAAGTGACATACATCTTACATCATGGTTCAAGGGAACTTATTATTATTATTATTATTCTTTTTTTTTTTTCAACAAGTCAGCCATCTCCCACCGAGGCAGGGTGACCTAAAAAGAAAAAATCTCCAAAAAGAAAATACTTTCATCATCATTCAACACTTTCACCTCACTCATACATAATCACTGTCTTTGCAGAGATGCCCAGATACAACAGTTTAGAAGCATATGTATATAAAGATATATAACATATCCTTCCAAACTGCCAATATCCCAAACCCCTCTTTTAAAGTGCAGGCATTGTACTTCCCATTTCCAGTACTCAAGTCCGGCTATATAAAAATAACTGGTTTCCCTGAATCCCTTCACTAAATATTACCCTGCTCACACTCCAACAGCTCGTCATGTCCCAGAAACCATCCACCTTCACGCTCACGCAAGCTTGTTGGAAGTCCAAGCCCCTCACCCACAAAACCTCCTTTACCCCCTCCCTCCAACCTTTTCAAGGATGACCCCTCCCCACCTCCCTTTCCCTACAGATCTGTACACTCTCCAAGTCATTCTACTTTAATCCATTCTCTCTAAATGACCAAACCACCTCAACAACCCCTCTTCAGTCCTCTGACTAATACTTTTATTAACTCCACACCTTCTCCTAATTTCCACATTCCAAATTCTCTGCACAACATTTACACTACACACTGCCCTTAGACAAGCCATCTCCATTGCCTCCAACCGCCTCCTCGCTGCAGCATTTACAACCCAAGCTTCACACCCATATAAGAGTGCTGGTACCACTATACTTTCATATATTCCCTTCTTTGCCTCCATGGAAAACGTTTTTTTTTTGTCTCTACAAATACCTCAACGCAACACTCACCTTTTTTCTGTCATCAATTCTATGATTAACCTCATCCTTCATAAACCCATCCGCTGACACGTCAACTCCCAAATATCTGAAAACATTCACTTCTTCCATACTCCTCCTCACCAATTTGATATACAATTTTTCTTTATCTAAATATAAACAGCTATTGGAGGATAGATGGGCAAATGAGAGCATAGGCAATGGGGTCGAAGAGGTATGGGGTAGGATTAAAAATGTAGTGTTAGAGTGTTCAGCAGAAGTTTGTGGTTACAGGAAAGTGGGTGCAGGAGGGAAGAGGAGCAATTGGTGGAATGATGATGTAAAGAGAGTAGTAAGGGAGAAAAAATTAGCATATGAGAAGTTTTTACAAAGTAGAAGTGATGCAAGGAGGGAAGAGTATATGGAGAAAAAGAGAGAGGTTAAGAGAGTGGTGAAGCAATGTAAAAAGAGAGCAAATGAGAGAGTGGGTGAGATGTTATCAACAAATTTTGTTGAAAATAAGAAAAAGTTTTGGAGTGAGATTAACAAGTTAAGAAAGCCTAGAGAACAAATGGATTTGTCAGTTAAAAATAGGAGAGGAGAGTTATTAAATGGAGAGTTAGAGGTATTGGGAAGATGGAGGGAATATTTTGAGGAATTGTTAAATGTTGATGAAGATAGGGAAGCTGTGATTTCGTGTATAGGGCAAGGAGGAATAACATCTTGTAGGAGTGAGGAAGAGCCAGTTGTGAGTGTGGGGGAAGTTCGTGAGGCAGTAGGCAAAATGAAAGGGGGTAAGGCAGCCGGGATTGTGGGAAAAAGATAGAAATGTTAAAAGCAGGTGGGGTATAGTTTGGATGGTTGGTGCAATTATTTAATAAATGTATGGAAGAGGGTAAGGTCCTGGGGTTTGGGCGGAGCATGCAAGTTCCTTTGTTAAAGGCAAAGGGGATAAAAAGAGAGTGAAAAAAATTTAGGGATAAGTCTGTTGAGTGTACCGGGAAAAGTGTATGGTAGAGTTTAATTAAAAGAATTAAGGAAAGACGGGGAATAGGATAGCGTGAAAAAGGGGCTTTGGAAAAGGAGGGGTTGTGGACCAGGTGTTTACAGTGAAACTATAAGTAAAAACAGTTTTTTAGATAAGGCTAAAAGTTTTTTTGGCATTTTGGTTTTAAAAAAGGCTATGACGGGGGGGGGGATAGGGGGGCAATGTGGCAGAGTTGCAAGTGTATGGTGTGGGAGGGGGTTTATGAAAGCAGTAAAGATTTTTTTTTACGAGGATAGTGAGGCTCAAGTTAGATTTATGTAGGAAAGAGGGAAATTTTTCCCCGTAAAAGTAGGCCTTGCAAGGTTTTGGATGTCACGTGGTTGTTTATATATTTATAGAGGGGGTTGTAAAAGAAGTAAATGCGGGGTTTGGGAAAGAGGCGTGGAGTTAAAAGAAAAAGAATCAACCAAAGGGGAGTTGTCAAAAATGCTCTTTGCTGTGACACTGGCTCTTGGGAGATTTGAAGAGAAGTTGCAGAGTTTGGTGGATGAATTTGGTAGGTGTGCAAAAGAAGAAAATTAAAGGTGAATACAGGAAAGAGTAAGGTTATGAGGATAAAAAAAAGTTAGGTGATGAAAAATTTAATATCAGATTTTTAGGGAGAGGTATGGAGGAGGTGAACGTATTCAGATATTTGGGAGTGGACGTGTCAGCGGATGGGTCTATGAAAGATGAGGTGAATCATAGAATTGATGAGGGGAAAAGAGTGAGTGGTGCACTTAGGAGTCTGTGGAGACAAAGACTTTGTCCTTGGAGGCAAAGAGGGGAATGTATGAGAGTATAGTTTTACCAACGCTCTTATATGGGTGTGAAGCGTGGGTGATGAATGTTGCAGCGAGGAGAAGGCTGGAGGCAGTGGAGATGTCATGTCTGAGGGCAATGTGTGGTGTGAATATAATGCAGAGAATTCGTAGTTTGGAAGTTAGGAGGAGGTGCGGGATTACCAAAACTGTTGTCCAGAGGGCTGAGGAAGGGTTGTTGAGGTGGTTCGGACATGTAGAGAGAATGGAGCGAAACA